TGGCGCTGGGGCAGCGGCCGCTGCCCCGCGGGGAGGAGGCGCCCCCGAGAAGCCCCAAATTACTGGGCGCTCTTTATTCAAACGCACCGCAGAATGTTAATTTGTCCATGATCTGCCCCCTTTCCTCACTGCTGCAGGACAAATTAAAACACGCACACACACAGACTTGGGCTCTCCTTGGCTCTCGCTGCCATCTGCCACCTACCCCTCTGCTGACAGAGGCCTGACAGGAAGCGAATTCCTGCTAAAACGGAGCTCCTGGACCGTCCCGGGGACATTTGCGTTGTTACTGTGAACACGGGCGTTATAAGGCAGTTATGCCCTACAGCGTAGCAAGGAAAGGGCTTGTTACATGCTTTTTGTGATACTTACGGTCTTTGAAATACAAAGTAAATGACTTTCTCACTTAACACCCCAGTGAGTTATGCTGATGAGCACATTCACCAAGGGCAGGTGGGCTACTGACTAATGCTCAGTGGGAAACCTCTACAAAATGACCGAGTACATCCCTGGAAGCACTCCAGTGCCAAAGGCAGGTACAAAAAACAAAACTTAATTTTGCCTCAGGGAAAGCCCAGGGGGATTTCAGTGTATCAGACATTCAGAGGTACTTTTTTTGGCCAAGACTTAAATGCTTTTCCTACCAATGCACAACAAGATCAAAACACCTAGACACTACATTTATCTCTTTCAAACAAATGAGTAGCAAAAATTCTACTTTTTCACTTTTACTATGCTCTGTAACAGATGGCTATCTCTAATAGTGCCCCTTTTAGCTACCTTATCATTAAAATATCCTGCTAAAACCACCACTCCCTTTGATTTACACAAGATGCACAAATATCTCTCTAGTGGCAATATTTGCTAGTTTCTAGGTTATAGTTGCAGTTGAGCTGAGCAAACAGAGGACAGCTCTAACCATATTTTATACACACGCAGTTGCTTACTTGCTGATTATTTCCTCAAAGTTGAAAAAAAGAAAAGTGAAATTGGGGGAAAAAATGAACAATTATGTGAATAAAGAGGGAAGTTTATAGGAAAATACAAGAGCTGACCAAAAAAAATTATAATTCTACCATCAAGCAAGAGGACAACTCTGGTTTGAAAGCCCATTCCTAAAGAAATGAAATCAGTAATTAAGAAAAAAAGAAGTCATTAGGTAGAACACATGTACAGAAAAGAAAGTAGATGGAAATCAATATTAACTAGAAAGTGCTGAGATTTCATACAGGAAGCATAAGCCATCAGAGCAAATCCATTACTGGGAGGGCTAAGGTGATAAAGCTTTTGTATATTTGGAAGAGTACGAAATATTATTACAGGGCAAGGCAGAAAGGTGTCAACATTCAATAAATAATTTACTTTATATTTGTAAAGAAAAAGATATGTTTACCAACTCATAAAAGAGATATTAAGAAGCATCTCCTACGAACATATAAACAGCAGCAAAACCTGGCAAAATGCACAAATGAACCCCCAAAGAGTTGGATGAGGGTGAATAATCGCTGTTTGACACCCCTTCAACTGAATTTTGGCATAATAAGGACATTTTGAAAGGCTGAAGGAGTGCTTCATAAGACCCAGAACACAAAAGTATGGTGACTAATATGGTGACTAGTTATAGGACAGTTAACCTAACATTAACCAACCCCAAGAAAAACATGGAAAAAAATCAAATGTATGGCTGCCAGAAATATCTTTTTTATGGGAAATGGCCTGTTAAGCAAATATGATGATTGATACTTTTGAGAGAAAATGATAAAATGATCAGTGTGTTTAATAAAGTCATAGAGCCATGAATGTAATGTGTATATGGAAGGCAAGTTCTTTAATGACATATGAAATTCTCGATACATTTGTAACACAGCAAGAGCTGGGTAAGATGGTCTTAGTTAAAGCAGGATGAGTTTTAATATAGCTTAGTGCAAAAACATGACTCCAGGAGAAGAAGGAGGCCACCCGTCTGGAGCGGGACCTGCCTGGGGAGATCACTGCACACTGGGAAGAATTTGGGGGCAGAGTGGAGAGGAACAGTGTTAAGACTCCTAGGAGAAAAAAAGGCCTAACCAGGATGCCGCTATCCTTGGATGTGCAACAAGTAGGAATAGGGAAGTGATTTTGTCTCTGTATGAAACACCAGTGAGGCAGATACTGGAAGCTGTCCAGGTTTGGTATCTGCATTTTTAAAAGGATATTGAAATACCAGAGAAGGTTAAGAAAGGAACCCTAAAAATAATTTGAAGTAATTCCTCTCCAGGGAGAGATTTCAGGTGCACAATATACTCAGCTTTTCAAGAAAAGAGAAAATATGATTACACTGTGTAAGTAAGGGAGATAACAGCAGGTACTAATGGGCTTGTTAAGCTAGTGGATAAAGGCATAGAAAGAATCAAAGTTTAAACCAGATAGATAATCCAACTCAGAGCAAAAGTACTTGATTAAGCAGTGATTGTTCTGTGGAAAAGAAATCAGAATTAAGACTGTCCTGGGAGATGAAAGATGACCTAATCTTATATTCCAGTCAAACACAAAAGACAGCATTGGAAAATATGCTTTATTGAAGTGCAAGATATGAGACTCAGCATAGGGCATATGGGTCAAATTCTTCAGAATAAATTTATAACCTAGTTGTCACTTCTCACCTTAAAAATATCTATGAATAAAAACAACAGAATATTTGTATACTTTTGATGCCAAAACCTGAAGTACAGTTAAGTAGGTGAATGGTTTAACCTACAATCGTCCACTTAGTGCAGCAGTTGGTGGTGGCTCTTCCCATTTTAGTGGTTCCTGCCCACAAGAATACTTTGGGGTCTTCCTTTGCCCGCCTCCTCCTGTTCTGCTGCTGGCACAAGAACACCTCATAGACGTCAAAGCAACTGCAACATGTTTCCTCTCAGGCCAGCAGGATGTCTGACACCACCTTCGTCTTGCCTATTCTTTCCCCTTCAAGAAAAACCCAACAGCCATGACTTGTGTCCCACCCTTGGCTCTGTTACTCATTCTGGAATCTCCTTTTACAGACTATAGGGCTTGGCGGGGTGAGTTGTTTAGCTCATTTGGCCCTTTTAAACTCCAGCTTTGTCAATACTTGAAGGAATCACTGGGCAGCTGGACCACTGCAATGGAGCTCAGGGCTGCCTGAGCCTGCATGGGCAGAGTGTATTTGATCAGCTCCCTTTCAGTGTGCCTGCCGCATCTTGATTACAAGGGAATGTCATGGTTCTACATAACCATGTATCTTGTTTGGTTCCTCTGACATTCCTCTGGTTTTCTCTGAATAACCAGGACAGTTCTTGCAATATTATTCTTGTTCCTTTTCTTTCTACATGTAGAAATGGGTGTTAATTAAGTGAAGAGCAGAGGGAAAGGACTATTTCTTAACACTTGAAAAAAAAAACATTAATAACAAGAATACCTTTTAGATGTTTCTGTATCCTCCTTACTGTCTAAGAAATATCATATTCCTGACAGGACACCATTTAGAAAAGTTTTGCAAGGGAAACATTCTAGATTAGATGTTCTTTATATACAGTGTGTATTTGCAGTAAAACTTGGGTAGAGAGGATTCTAGTGAGTTTTGGGGGCTATATATGACCTTAATAACATTTATTATATTTTTTACCACCACATTTTCCACGTTTCTGAAATGAAAATAACTGTATCTGAACTGCTTCATAAAAAGGTACAGAACCATCATATTTAAACTTGAGTGTGTGAAATACGGTTAGTAAGTAGAAATGACATGGGGGATTTGTACCTCCAGATTCATGAAAAACTGAAAGGATTTAGGGAACAGCAGATTACGAGCAAATGACATCCTGAAGGCTGTACGTGACTACTTGTGCCACAATACCTTTCTTAGATTAGCCATTCACAATGTAAAACTCATTAGTCCATATGTTTTGGGGTTTAAAAGATAACTTGCAAAATTTAGATTATGATGGATTGTGTGTCCATACACGAATTGTCAAATTATCTTATGGGCAATGGCTAGAAATATCTTTAGTTAAAGAAAGGGAATCCCATGGTGCTTTGTGGCTCTCCCATGTCTCAGTCTGTCATGATGATCACGCCAATAGGTGAAATGGCAAGGGTTTATAGGGCAGGTTACACTGCCTATGTTCTGTTGAAGGGGGGATGTACATGGATATTAAGCATCCTAATCCAAGAGAGTAACTGGGAACTATCTAACCTGGCATTGCAGGGTATTGAAAAAGCCTAAAATGGGTGTTTTACCTTTAACGGAAAAGAGGCAGGTGCCTCCAGCAAGTGACTCAGAGCCCAGGAACGTGGTGGTGCCTTATTGTATATAGGACCTAACTGCTTCCAGAGGTCAGTGACCACATGTTGAGCTTGGCCCAGGAAAAAAAAAAGCAAACCTATAGAAACAGAAATATTGAATACACAGCACTTCGTAGGTGCCAACTCCCATCCCTCTCTGCTCTTGCGAGCTCAAGCGCCTACGTCACTTGGCAGCTCAGCCAAGCTGAGTTGCTTGACTTGGCTGCCTTGTGCAGAGGTGGGACCTGGGGGTCCAGACTCTCGGATCTGGAGTTAGAGCTCACTTGTAGGCAGCCTGCAAATCTTTCCATGCTCAGGGCCAGCGTAAGTGGCCATTGACTGAAACTTGATATCTCTGCAAGGGCTCAGGAAGAAAGTTG